AGCATGAGATCTGCTTACAGGGGTCTGCAGGTCTCTTCTTCATTGGCATAATTTTCACAATCTGAATCAGCCATTTCCATACCTTTATGTTTTGCTTCTAGTGTTTTCTGCAATCAAACTGAAGCTAAACATTTCCCTGTGTATTTCATAAACATTTTCAAAGTAAGTCCAACAATTCAGAAATTTGACAAAAAGCAAAGCAACAAAGGAAGCCATGTTGACAGCCTGTCTTCAGCTATTTGTGCTGCATTGATCCCTAGCTCTAGCATTATCTTACTGAAATGCCTTGCCAGTGTATTTATGCAGAGAATCAGAATCCTGGTCAGTTACTTAAGTTACATTGCACCTTCATTGATAAAAAGTGACCGCAGTTTGAAGGCGCAAGAACATAAGACAAAAGACAGCAACATCATGAGGTCATAATTTCAGACCCAGAAATCATTTGTGCAATCAAGTATAAAATCAGTAACACCAAGTTCCAAAGTCTGTCATCTGGCTAGTTTGTCAACAACCCTGAGGCAAACTGAGTCCTGAAGTTTGCAAAACTGCCTTAGACCAGAGGGTCCAGTGCTCAAGCAGGAATGGCATAACCTGGAACAACTGGTAAGTTTTATTGCCTTCAGCTATTTGCACCACTACAACAAACAGTGCAGTGTTTTAAAGCAAACAAGGGGTTGTGGTAGTTCAAGATACTATGCTACATGCTGCAGTGGTCTTGCAGCTGTTGTTCTGTTCACTAAAGGCTGGGCAGAGAGGCTAATATAACTGGTCTCATACTGTGCCATTCCCACCTAATGAATGAGAAATATGACAATACAAATGCACAAGAAAAACTTGGCTGCAAAGCTTCAGTGTTTGACAGCACCCTCATTTTCTACTATTAGTTTTTTTGTCTTTCCTTCTACTATGGGAAAAGCAAAAGGTAATATTCTTAGTTGTAACATCAAAATGCTCCATTTGAAGGTTCTGCAATAAAACCAACTGTTGCTACCTTTACTATAAATCTGAGTCACTAGTATGTCTGGCAGAGGTCTGAACTTCCTCCAGCCCATCAGTTAACATAGCTTCTAGATACCTATTTGTGTAAACAAAGCTGTGTGAAAAATAGCTGAATTTAATGAGCAGCATTTAGAGTGGAAGCATTGCCTTGCAGTCCCAGACCTGGAAAATACAATGGCTTTGTACAGTCCACAGCATATGCAAACTTGTGTTAGGGAGAGCAGTGTGGCAAAGAGGCATATCTAGTATTACATCAGTAGTTGGAATGCAGCTCTGATAAAAATCAATGCTTAGTATTCCAAAAGTTTCAGATATCCAGAGTTCACCTATAATAAATATGTGCATAATGGAATATTTTTTCATTACAGAATTAAAAATTAAGTTGTAATTCCAGTATATGTGGCAGCTCCAGCTCTACCTCTAGAAGATTTCTCCATGCCTTTTTCTTTCAAGCAAAAGTTTAAAGTTGTCTATATCAGATTATATTATGTACTAAACAAGACAAATTCTTGTCAAGCAAATAAAGACACTAATCTGAAGTTTATTCAAAATAATTAATTGGCTCTTTCATTCCTCCATTGGGGGAAATATGACTGAACTTTCACCAGATAACTTCTTCAGTGCAAGTATTTATAAAAGCAAAGATTCAGTCAGCATTTTTACTTACCAGAATGTTGTTCAGCAACAGATTCTGAGGTAAAAAGACATAGTTCTTCTTTTTTTGAGGTAAGAATTGACATGTCTTGGTACCTTTAGCAAGCCTGCAAATGAGAAAGACCCAAAGCAACAGGACTACAGAACAAGCACAGGTAGAAGGTGGAAAGGTTAATGCAATGCAAACAGCCAATGTAATTGATTCTCACCATATTTCCTCAGAAACTCAGATTAGGACTGATCTGTGTAGATTTTACAATGCACTGATACAGGAACTCCTTTCATAAGACTTCAGTGTTTGGTTAACTGTGGTCCTGCTAAACCCTGCAGAAGTGTTATTATGTGAAATGTGAACACAGCTAAGCCAGAATTCAGTACTTCTACACACTCTCCCAAGCCCCCATTCTTACTCTTTCTTCTAAGTGCTGACTGGAAAGCACTTCAAGACAACGAAACAGCACAGAGATTTTCTCTGAATTTTGAAGGGCAAATGATGCTTTGTCCTAGGCATAATATCCATATATTGTACTCAGCTGCAGTAGTGAACTGTGCAGAAATGTATCTCTCTTTATGTCAGAACAGAAGTTTGTAACAGCTCCAGGTGGTAAGCTGTGCTTTTCCTTTCAAATACTATTTGTGTCAGTGGCTGAGGAGTTATAACCAACAGCACGCTCTGTAGAAACAGCAATGAAGACAGTGGGTTCACTGTAAGTTACCTTGAATTCTGAGACTAAAAGCTATGCTCTAGTTCAATAAATCTTAAACCTGTCAAACCACAGTTAATGATTATCAGAAGTGCCCTATGAAATCCCTTAACTCATCTATTTTGTTGCCTTTCTTTAGCTTCAGAATTTATTATGATACAACACAAAATTAAACTAGTCATACAAAGATTTGTGTACTTGGAAGTATTTCAATTGTGTGTCATAAATACACTTTGAGCTCAAGTTACATGTTCCATAAAGCACTTCATAAAAGCACAGGAAAACATTCGTATGAAGAATTTCAGTTTCCTCCATCATGAATTCATATTATGCTGCGTTCTAAAATACTTATGCTTTACATTGTCTCTTATACACTATTCTCATTGAACATATGCTCCTCAGCATGTTTTATAATGCAGGGCAGTGGTTCTCAACCTGTGGTCTGCAGAACCTTGGGGGGTCATGATGTTGTCACAGGGGGTTCGCAAAGACTTAAAGCAGGTGTGGGGAACGTCCAGCCTGAAAACATTTGGTCTGGCCCATGGCAAGCACTGCGCCTCCTTTTCCCATGGCCCCCTCCCCTCAAGGGTCTTCTGATACTCATTAGTTGTCATTACACATACTATGTTTTCTTTTTCCCAACAGCTTGTGTTAAGTACAACTTGTAAAATTATATTCATACCGTTTTCATGTGACTTTTGTATGCGTATGTCATATTAATGGTTCCATGTGATTGTAGTTTCAGTGCTAGTATGGTTTGTGGGACCTGTGGGAGTGAGGCAAGTCAACATCAGCCTGTCAGCTCTGTGCAGCCTCTGAGAAGCAGCTAGGCTTTGATGAGAAACAGACCTTGAGAGAAAGATAAGAAACTGCTGAGTTGTGCCAAGTTGGCAGGGAAAACCAACAGACAGCTGCAACACTGAACTGTGGAACAGTCCTGAACTGTGAAAAATTACACTGCGTGGACAGCGCGTGAACAAGTTGATTGGTCTGCACAGCGTGTGCTAGAGTGGTCTTGTGCTGGAGGGTAAAAGGTAGATAGCTGTTTAATTGATGATTTGCTCATTATGAAGCATAGCATAAATATGTACTGTTGTAATAATAAAGGATCTTTCCTTCTGCACTTCATGGAAGGTCCATGCCTCAGTTGCCAGAGGGACCCAGTTTAACTAGGCGGTTTTTCTCTTAAAGACTTTCTTAACCCAACAGCCCTCTAGGGCCACACAAGTGGTGGCCCTGGACCCATAAACAAATGTATTTAGTGACTGAACACAGACAAACAAGTGGGGAGGTAAGCAGAATTATAAAAACTTTTTCTCAAAATTTAATGTAAAAATTGGCATCAAATTTGGAATTAGCATGTTAAAATACCATAAAATAGGCCATTTGAGCAAGAAGAGTGTTGTTGCTATTAAATTCATATGGAATCATTGCAATAAGGATACTACAATAAGACTGTGTGCATTAAGAGATTAATTTATTTCCCCTTCTCTCCAAATTTCACGACCCTTCATGAGAAAACTGAAATAAGTATTTGATGCAGTCTAGTCCTTTAAATCTTGAATTAAGTCTTGGTGGTCCACAGCTACAAAAGGTATTTAAAGGGGGTCTGTGGTGAAAGAAAGGTTGAGAACCCCTGATGTAGAGTATATGTATACTCCAACCTCAGCCTTGAGTGTAAAAGGAAAAAAAAAAAAAAAAAAGAAAATAGAACAGTCAACCTTTGTGAGAACTCTTACCTTCAGTTGAGGAAAATCAGTTACTGTTTACTGGAGCCAGCATCCTGTACTACAAGAATGCAGTACCATGATGTATTTCAGTCTAGAACATCTTGGATATCAAATTCCCATCAGTAAGCTGAGCTGAGTGAATTAAACTTCACTGTCAAAGTACTTTCAGATTGAAATTTGTGCAAACTTAGAATATTTCCACTCCATCAGAGTGCGTTTTTGCTCTCTGCAGTTTGAATTCTTCATGATACCTCAATTCTTGGCCTCTTCTCTGTATTTCTCTTATGAAATTATTTAGTGACTAGCCTTTCTAGAAACTGAAAATTCAAAGTTTATGATGACAAAGATACTGCCAGACAAAAGCCTATAACAAATTCAGGTATGCTTTCCTTGAAGACCCTGACTGTGTTTCAGTTACAGCAAAAGACTTTAAAAAGGCAACTTTTTCTCTGCAATAAAACCACTTTGCAAGAGTGCTTGAATCACTTCAGTTACAGTTTCCAGACAAGTTGTGCTTTAAACCCTATATATTCTAGATAGACTATCATTCTGGTATGAACTAAAACCTGAACATAAACCAAAAGCCTCCAGTTCACAGCTCCAAAGGACAGAAGGCAGCGCACAAAACAAATGCCAAACGGTTTAAAGTGATGGGACAAGGTTGGTTAGACTGGTGGAAAATCAAACCAAACCGAAAAACAGTGGAAAAAAAAAAAAAAAAAAAGCTACTCTGGAATCCAGATACAGATTTTAAAATATGATTTATAAAACCACCTGAGAATCTCCAGAAACTACCACCTCTGTTAAGTGTAATCTTTGGTGTATACACACTAGGTGTCAAGAGCTGGTTTTGGAGTGTAACTCATCATTCATAGCACTGTTTCTTCCCTCAGAGCCCACCAACCCAGGTCACCTGTTATCAGCCATCAACGATAAGATTTCAAGACTCCACACACGCACTTCCAGACGGTATTAATTATTTCCCAGAGCAGGCCGCGCTGCCCCGGAAGCGCGGCCCCACTGCCCTGCACTAGCCCTCCCTCAGGGAGAGGCCTGCGGCTCCCGCCTCACCGAGGGCCGCGGGAGGGGCAGCGCCGCTCCCGCCCCGCCCCCAGCCGCCGCTGGACCCCGAGCACCCGCGGCTCGTCCGAGTATCCCTGGGTTGTGCCCGTGCCCAGTCCGTGGGCCTGGCGCTCTTGGGGTGCTGTGGTCGCCTGTTCCGCCCCCGCCCCGTTCCGCAGCGCTACCGCGAGACGTCGGCGCTGGTCGCGGAGCCTGGGACCGTGTGCTGCCCGCTCGGCCGCCCGCCCCGGGGCGCAGTGAACGGCCGCGGTGGGGAGGTAACAGCTTCGTGCAGCTCTGTCTGGAAAGTGGCTCTGTCTTCCCGAACTGCGGGCTGTTAACGTGATCCAGGAATATTTGCAGCCACTTGAAGTTTTTGGGGATTTTAATGAAGCTCTGAATGAGGAAAAGAAAGTCTAATAAATGTACTAATAAGGTTTTGTTTTTTCAGATTTTGCCTGTGGCTCACACAAAAATACATCCTGATCAGGTATCATGTCTTTTGATTGGCTGTTTCTTGTGTCTTTGCAAGTATGTGTAACATCTTAATTTAGCACCTCACTTTATTTCAAGTTCCAGACTTTCAAGAAGCCCAAGCCACTAAGTAACATTAAAGACAACATAAATTCCCCATGGGGGAGGAGCTGTTCAATTTGGGGTGAAAAAACTTAGTTGTTGAAGATCTGTGTAATCTGCAAAAGTTGTGATAGAAAGTCCTAATGAGCTGTATGTTTGCCACAGATTTTATCCAGTTACTTTTGGAAAATGAATTGCCATCCTGACCAAAACATCTTTCATAAAGCGTCTATCTGCTCTTTTTGGTAAATACATCATCACTTAGAGGAGTCACTTACATAGTGCAAGCTGAATGGTTTTAAAATCAGGTTAATAATAAATGTAATAAGAATTTAAAAAGGTGGAAAAAGAAAAATACAGAAAATAAACTAATCCTGAAAGAAACAGGAATACTAGGAAACGTTAATTATTTGAGAAAGTTTACAGGGTTTTTTTTTAATTAGTATTTACTTTTCTGCTCTTAAAAACAGCCCTAGATGAAAATATTTTGTCTCATTTAGTTAGGAAACTCAAGCATGATCCATAATGTGGCGAATATGCCACATGAGTCTAAGCCATTGTGGTGGTACGTGAAAAATTTGCTGTGATTAAGCCCTCCCCTTTCTCACTGTTAATAATCATCCCATGAAAGAAAACTTGTGTGATGCTTCTACTCCAGAAGTCAGTGCTAAGAAAATAAAAGGCATTTTGTGGCCAGCTCTCCTGCAAGATACATTATCACAGTAACTGATGAGAGCGTGCATAAATGAAAGAAAGACAAGATGAACAGAGCGTTGGAAAGACAGATTGAAGAGATGTGTTAGTACATCATATGCCAGTAACTACATATAATAGCATACTTACAAGTGTTTAATAAAGCAGTTCCTTTGCACGGTAGTAAGAATGGTTGTTGGAAGAGAACTGCATTCTTGGCAGGCATTTTTAAGAAAATGTGTTACATGACTACATGTCCTTCATTTGCAGATATTGCTAATAATTTCACAATTAACATTTAACTTTGTCTCTGGGTGTTACTTTCAGAAACTAGGTGAAAGTGTTCAGCAACAACTACTAGCAAAAATTGCAGTCTACTTGATGACCTTCTTAATAGTCACAGTGGCATGGGCAGCTCATGTAAGGTAGGAACACTGTTTAAATTTAAAGTGTTTAAAAGGACAGGAGATAACGAGTCTGATACACTTCTGTCTTGGTGATACATTTCTGAATTGTCTTTTTTTGAACAATATAAAAAATTCATTGTGAGGAAATGCTACTGTAAGCAGTGAATAACATGCACCGTTGACACAGTGATGCAGAGAAGAACAAGCAATATAGAGTTACTCTTCATTTTATATCATTGTAGATGGAATTAAATTTCTACTTATGCTGAAAAAGCATTACTTTGTAACTTGTATGCTACACAAATAGAGGAACTGATACAGTACAGCTGGCCTAAAACTTGTCTGTCTCAGTCCTCAACAGTGCTTCTCACAAAATACATTGTAATGTTTGCAGATGCTGCATTTTACAGAGCTGTGGACACCACCATCTGCCTGTTTCTTGGTAGTTAAAAAGAAATTGACGTGCAGGTATCATACTAGAATCAGGGCAGTTTTTGTTTGAATTTTGAACTTTACAAATGTTACTATATTCTTTCCCTGTTCTCCCAAGTCAAACTCAAAAAAAATCAAAATAATAGCTCTTCACAATGGCATATGAGACAAAGAAAACTCTGAGACTCTGTGGATTCTCAACATCTGGATCTGCTCTGGAAGATGTGTGCAGTGGTACTGCTGGGCTCAGATCCCTACCACAGCACTGCTTCATCTGACAAGCTCAAAGTCAGTCATGTGCCTGTATTTTTATTCTTGCATCAGACTATCAGATGGACTTGTTCTTGAGTGAGCAGTGAACAGTGCCTGCTGGTGAAAGTCTGCCTTTCTTCATGCTTCATAAGCATCTGCTTGAGCAGTGAGCACAAGTTGTCAGTATCCTATTAGTTCTGGGCCTGCCTGTGTTCAAGTAAATAGGTGATTAATTGACAGCTAATGATAGTTGTCCTGTGGTTCCCAAGCCTTGTGCAGTTCACTAGCAGTTTGCTGGCTGTCCTGTCCTGGTTGTGTCAGGTAGCAAAAGACAGAGCTATTCTGGAACAGAATAGCTGTGGGAGGAGGCAAACCAGAAACCTGCCCTGTGATTTGGCTGTATTTTGTCTTATAGTGAAGTGGCAGGTGCTCCAGAGAATCATCAGCTCCTGCTCCCAAATCACCCCTCTATCTTTTTTCTCCAAGGACTGGTATCCATTTGTAGCTCACTGCCTTTCTAGATTTTTGGTATGTGACTTGATGGGTCAGAACTGACATCTAGATCACTTCTTCATGGATGAATTGGCTGTTAATGATGGTGACATTTACTTCAAAATAAATAAATAATTTCAGGTGTAGAGGAAAGATAAAGTTGAGGGGGGAAGCTGGTTAGCTACATCATATGCCACTTGTCTTTCAAATGGAAATGAGGTGCTTAGTAACTGCTCCATGATTGAATGTATCTTGCTTTTCAAATTTTTCTAACAAATTACGCCATATTTGAACTAATGAGTTTTGGTAGCACCTGGACAACTAGTATGAATTCTGAAGCAAAGGAAATGAGGTTTCTTTACAATATCATAACTGCCCAAGTTGTATACAGTGTTGTAAAACATATTTTTGATAGTTGGCTTATTCATGATATCTTGCCTTGCCTTGACAGGTTGTTTCAGGTGATAGAGTTTATAGATGATGTCCTTGCTCTTTTAAATCTGGTGAGTCTTCATGCTGGGTGTTTTAACTAGCAAGTACAGGTCACTTTTTCTTAAGTCTGTATGTGTATATCCAAAAGTTTCTAATTTAAATAGCATAACTGCCAAATTTCCATGTCAGGAAGATACAGAGAATTTTAATTCCTCCTTGCCAAAGTGGCTGATTGATAACTAGCTTGCTTTTAACTTCCACATGTTTTACTATAAGCTAAAAGCAGAGCTCTGCAACAGGTTAGTTTGAAGTTCATGTGAGGGAACTGAAGAGGCACCTATGGCTAAAGCTTTTGACGCTGTTCATCTGTGTCCAGCTGAAGTATCTGTTCTCCAGGCTTAAGCAAGTGAAATACTGTGTCTCTTGTGGCAAAAAATCTTAGTCATGGGTTTGAATTATAGTTAACGTTTCAGTCATTTCTGTTTAAGTTGCTTAGAAATTAATTCTGAAGCTTATTTTGAACAGAGGATTGTATGATCTTTCAAACACCTCCACTGAGACAGCAATCTCTGAATCAGTGTTTTGAGCTTTAGACTTGCTTAAATCTTAAAAATTCTTCATTTTATTTGAGTATGTATTTTAACGAGTCACCCTGTAATGTCTTGGTTACTTGTAGTTGTAATGGGATGCTACAGTAGTGAACGTATTCTTACTTTCAGCTAGAACTTTGTATTTTTCTACATTGTTTAAAAGTCTGTTCTCTGACAGTGTTCAGCCACAGTTGATTTAAATTTGTTAATAAAAATACTGAGTTTAAACTCTGTGAGATAAGACTACAGGAAATTATTTTAGAGGACTAGCTTAAGGCATGGAATTCTTAAAAGCAATTAATTGCTTTGTGCTTGAGGTGTGGGTTGTTTTTTTTTTAATTTAACTTTTTTATACATTAAATATTTGTGATCAGAGATTAATATTCTGATCACATCACCTCTTTAGGAGGTGTGGTACTTCTGGCATTGCTGCTTTAGAAAGAAGTCTGTTAAGAACGGTAGCAAAACTTTTACCTGTGGTATTGATAACAAAACTAGGGTTTTCTAAAATAAGCCTGTGCAGTGTGGGTAGCAAACATGGAAGATGAACTGGTCAGAAGAACCAACCATTTATTAACAGTCAAAGCTCAGCAACTTCAGAAATATGGTTTTCTTCATGATGCAGCACAAGCATTTGACCTGTTTGTGTTGCATTCTCTGGACATATTTTTAATGAGGGAATTGCTTGCTTTGTATTTTACCTAGGGTTTCAGTATGCTTTTTTCTTTTCTAGGCTTGTATGATGATCATAACTTTCTTGCCATACACAGTAAGTACTTTTCTAACATTTGGCATATGTTTAAATTACAGGGGTTTTTCCTTTCTTTATTTGAAGATCAAAGTATTCAGAAACCCGGGAATGTGTTACTATAAACCCTGAATCAACTGTAATGATTTATTATTATTATTATTATTATTATTATTATTATTATTATTATTATTATTATTATTATTATTATTATTATTATTATCATCCATTGTTTAAAATTCATGAGGACATGTTATAACCTCCAATTACTGCATGTTATAGACCTGACAGAAAATGGGTATTCTAGAAGAAAAATAGTAATAATGGAAAGTAGTAGTTTCCCATGATTTCTTTTTAGAAAGCAGCTGTGTTGAAAAATGTCAAAACTGTGTGATGAGAATTTTGCATTTTGTAATGGAACTAAAACTGTGTTTCAAACTCCTCTTTAGTTGACAGAACCTTTTCCTTCTGTAATCTAGACAGTTTTTGGTATCACTTTTGACTTATTCAGCAAAGTGGATTCTGGCAGATTTTTTAGATCTTCAAATTTAATGTTCTGCACAATTTCTGGTCAGATGACCTTTAGACCTAGCAAGAATGTTTGCAACTGAACACTGTATTAGCAGAATAAAACAGTTGCTTAAAATGTATCTTGACTTTTATTGTATGTATAGAACAAATTTATACATCAGGCACCAGTTTCTCTGTGGTTACATATAAGTCTGTGTTACATATAAGTCTGCAAAGAATAAGGCTGTGGTCAGTAAAACAATCTTTATCAGCAAGAGAATATACTTTTTACATTGCCTTGAAGCTGAAATAATTTTTGGAAAGTTGTCAATGTTACCTGAATACTACTCCCTGATTCCCCACCCCACAATGAAGCTGCAGAAATTAATACAACAAGGAGTCATGGAGGTAGAAAAATTTTAAAATTCAAAAATGTATCCTAATATTAAGAATTTTCACAGCTATGAACATTTTGTCCACTGAAAACACTGTTAAACTTTATGCTGAGCTACCAGCCAGTCTGTAGTTATTATGGAGACATAGTGTCAGAGAAGTTAAGGTTTTGCAGTATCAACATGAGAGGAAAGCCATCTATCCAGATGCCTTTTGTTGGAATGCCAGCATGTATTTGTGGCTAGAAATTGTATTTAGTTGAATTATGTTGAAATGCGAAGTATTATTTAGCTTTCTGAGTTTCAGTATTGAATGAAGAGTGCTTCCATTTCTCTACTGTTATTCCTACATTACTTAAATATTTGATCTAGTTGCATTTTCTTCTAGTTTTCCTTAATGGCCTCCTTCCCAGAGGTACCTTTTGGCATTTTCCTGTTCAGTATCTGTGCTGTTGTCATTGGCCTTATACAGGTATCAGAGCTCTCCATTTACATTTTCACTTTGAAATAGATTTTCATGGGTAGAGCTACAATTGTATTTCTTAACTATGGGTATAAATTGCTAAATATCTTTTTTGTTTGTATAGATCCTTTTTCAAAGTTGTGCCTGTTGTGATAATATAGTATCTGTATATGAGATGAAAGTTTGTATTGCCATTGTCCTGTGAAGGTGATATATGCAACAAAATCAGAAGATGATACAGTCCACAGACTAGTAGTTCCTTTCTACTCACTAAAAATACCTTGGAGAAATAGCAATTGACTTTTCCTGCTGAGATTCTTACTGAGGTATGCAGCGATGCCAGAGTGAACATGGGCTTTCAGCCTCTTTCCAATGGCACTGGTTTTCTCCTGGTGTAGTGCCTTGTCGCTTTCTGTTCCTTATTGTGGAGCTCTTCATTCCTCTTCATATAAGATCCATGGTCATGTCAAGCTTTTCAGAGGAGACTAAAATCTTGACATGCAGTGTATTATTAAATCTCAGAGTTTCTAGGACCAGCCCTCCATTTGGGTGTGAAGAGTAAGGTTGAAAGTGTTTTGGAATTTGTTCACTTACAGTTTTACGGGTTTGTATTTGAAATACTGCCTACACTTCTGTGTAATAACTGCAGTAATGCTCTTCTTGCAGGCTGTGATAGTAGCGTATGGATTCTATCACCCACACTTACTGAATCGACAGATACGGGTGTCTGAAAATCAGAATTTCTATAAACAACATATCTTAAAAATTATCCTAAGAGGACCGGTTTTATGCCTTTTAGCAGCCATCTTTTCTTTTTTCTTTATTCCTTTGGTAAGTTCTCCCAGTTAACTGAAAACTTTGATGCATCAGTTTGTATTAATTGTGTTTAGGACTGTGTGTTAAAATAATGCTGTTCATATTAAACACGCAAATTTGCTTAGTTGCCAGTTCTGTGGTTCTGTAATTATGGATGCTATTTTTCATTGAATGTGTTCGGTTCACAGTTATCAGTCTGTAATATGATCCATGAGTTTGGATAGTTTTGAAAGAATATTTTGCTACAATATTGGCTTTACCTGCTCTGCCTGATTTTCTTTTTAGTGTTTCTTTTAATTAGAAGCAGGTCTTCTAAACTTTAACTTAGCATCTTGCTCATTGTAAGTAGGTGAGATAATGTGGAAGGTTACATATAATAAGCATCCTATTGCACAAACTGAAGACAAGTGAATATAATTGCTGCACTAACTCAGGGTGTATGAGCTAATAGAATAAGCAAGATCAGTGGGCCAACCTGCATCTCAAAACAAACGTTTTTTGCTAAGGCCTGCTCTTAAGCAGCCTTTTTCTCTGCCATCCTTATTGATTGGCAGTGAGTTGCTCCTACTTATTAATAGCTTTAATCTTTCTCAGAACCCCTGCTTGGAAATAAAATCTAGTTTTTGAGTGTATCCTGAGCTTCCTTTCCTCTGTCTTGTTTTAAGTAAAGGTGGATTTAACTGAATTTTGAGAAAGATTCCATGTGAATTCACAGTGTTTAAATAATCGCCAAATTTGAGAGGAATCAGGTTGCTGTTGATAAAAGTGACAGATATGAGTCCAAATGTGAAAAGGCCTAATTTTAACTGGAAGTATGTTTTCCTTTTACACCCTTACTTCCCTCTTCTTTCTCATCTTGTTCAGTAGTGTATTTTCTTTTAATATTAGTAACTATTAAATTAGTCTTGAAGTTTCTCTTGTCCTTAGACCTGTGCAAAAGCCTGTGAACCACTTATGACCCCCTGAGGGGTCTTTGAGACACAAGCAGTAGAATCACAAAATCACAGAAGATCTCAAGTTGGAAGGGACCCATAGGGATCATGTGGGACAGTTCTTGATCTTCCAAAGAAGTCATTACTGCATTTTTGTTAGCAGAATTATTTCCCTTTGGTTTTAGCATGCTTTATTACTGGTACTAAATTAGCTATCAAAAAGCAGTATTAGGTTGCATGTGCAATGTTCAGGAGGTGCATGTGCATTTCAGGTGAGTCTTTTCCATGACAAGATTTGTTCTTCTCAATGTGATTATACCCAAAGATTGATAGTAACAACTTCATATTAAACTTGGAAGGTAATTTATATGTTGGTAACTAAATTTAAACTATGTTCATTTTCCTTTCCATAGTCTTATGTACTTCTTGGGCTCGTAATCATTTTTCCACATCTCACTCGATTTGTTACATGGTGTAAAACCAAGATTGTTGGTGAGTAACAATATCATAGGACTGTGTTCAGATACGTTACCAGGTTGTCAACATGTTATCCAAAAGCCTCGAGTGAAGTAGTTTCAGTTCTACTTCCATTTCATTATGTCTTGGAACATAGTGGTTTGGGGGTTTATTGTTGTGCTTCTGAACAGTTTTGCACTTGCTCCCTGGTTTCCCTTAATTTGTGACTAGATTTGTGGAACATACTACACATTCAAAGATAATTTCTGAGTGCAAAACCTCTCTGCGTTGTCCTGAACGTGCACATGCATGCTGATACACACAAGTACATGAATGATGGATGATCACTTTTCCCTCCTAAAAAAGGGAGCATGGGAATTGAAGAATATAGGAAGCAAGGTCTATGCCTGTATCATTTTCTCCCCAGCAATACTGTGTGGTCCCACATTTTCAAACTAGCAAGTAGAGCACCTATAAATTGAACTTTTACAGTTTAAAGTGTTAGATTTCATTAATCTAACTACTGCGGTCCCTTCACACATGGTTTAAGTCAGCCTAAATCCATGCTTCCTTCATTCATGCTCCTTGCTTATGTTCTTTCTGCCCTCCTTGTGTCAGGACTAACAGTTGCACAACCACACCAAAAGCCAGAGCCACTCTTAAACTCTGCTGAGAAGGAAGCTGCCAGTGCCAAAATAAAGAAGGTGGTATCATGCCACCTACTCAACCAAAGCATGAAAAGTAACATGAACTGACCAAAAAAGACTGAACAGATCATGTCTTTAGAACTGGCACTCCTGAGGTGAATCACAAGAATAACATCTTTGTGCCTCTGCTGCTGTTGTTCAGCCTAGTACAAGCCCATGTGGGTACACTGCAAATGGGAGCACACTTTTGACTCCCCCATGTGGCAGCAATAATAGACGGGGAGGCAGATGCTCTGAAATGGCTAAAGCCACACTGTCAAAGCCAAAAAATAAACATACAAATATTGTCTGTGTCTGTTACAACAGGGGTACTGCAATCTGCAGTCAGGTCATGTCTGTGTATGTCTCCCCCCATCAGATGGCTGACATAAATTACTGCTCTATTGATGTGAGTTGTGATTACACTTGCTTTTCATTCAGTTCCTCTCCTTAATTCCTCTGAAAGCTATAAGCTTTTTTTTCATCCCATCTATACTCGTGAAGTGGTGCAGCTTGGCTAGCTGGGCAGTTCAGAGCCCAGTCGTTAGGGATGTGTTTGACATTTCCTATAAAAGCTCCAGAGCCCTACCTTTTGATTAAAGACTAGATTTATTTTAAAGCAGACCATTTGATCTCCCAGTGTAGCCCAGTGATTTTTTTCTCCCATGCAGTATAAGTTCTCCACAGTGCCTTAGAGGTCCTACTACTGGGGCTTCCTGAGCACAGTATCTGATTTAATTGTCAAATGTTTTGTTCAATTACAGCTTTGAGTCATTATTCACTTGGTGGAAATAGTCTCCCATACAGTTTGAAGGACAGTGCTTTTTTGTCCCTGAAGTGCTTGTTTGTCCTGAAAGCAACATGAACTTCAGGGAGAGGCACAGCTGCCAAAAGAAGTGGAGTGACTGACCTGTGTGAATGAACAGCACCCTTCTTTCTACAGATAGGTTTGGCAGATGGGGAGAAAAAGAAAGGGAGGTCACAGTAGGTTGTTTAACTACCTTGTTTTATACTATGTGATTTTGCCTTTCTGTAGTAAACATCTGGATTTGTTTCCAGGTCAGAGAGATGAAGAGGAGGAATACCATAGCTTAGAAACCTTTACTTTTTACCTCAGTGAGCCTCTGAGTAAGGAAAGGGTAGAAGCATTCAGTGATGGAGTCTATGCTATTGTAGCAACCCTGCTCATTTTGGATATATGGTAAGGCTTTGTGTTGCCTCTTACGCTTTGTGTTGTTAATTATATTAACTTTTGTCTGTATGTAATATTTGAGGAAATAAAATTAACCAAACATTGTCTTGGACTTCTAAAACCTGAAGTGGTTATTTTAAATATGATTTTCTGGAAAGATACAGAACACAAACAAAAGATATTTGTAATGCTCACATTTCAGTGATCATCAGTCTACTTAATGTATGTAGGGTGGGGAGTCTTGAAGAACACACATTCCTTTTGTTTTAGTTGTGTTTTCAGATAAAAGGCTTTTATCAACAAAAACTCTCACTGTGTCACTATTTTATATTTATTTTAAATTTATTTATTTATTTATAGTCACTATGTCAGCTTTATTACATTAACCTAAGGGAATGCAAACTTATTTTCAGATCCAATTTATTTGCAGAGCCTTTATTTGAAATGCTGATTTTAGTTACAAATTAGAGAATAACAGAATGGATGCCTGTTGTTCCCTACTTGCTCAGAGTAAACCAGCATAGTTCAATGTTGTTCCAGGTGTGGTTTTATAACGGTAATACGCAAAACAAAGCAAGTTTTCTTTCCACAGTGAAGACAATGTCCCTGATCCCAGAGAAGTTGAGGAGAAGTTCCATGGCAGCCTTCTTGAAGCTTTAAGTGAATATGGGCCAAACTATCTTGCCTACTTTGGCTCATTTGTAACAATTGGTCTCTTGTGGTTTGTCCATCACTCACTTTTCCTTTATGTAAAAAAAGCTACACGATTAATGGGACTGCTTAACATACTTTCATTGTCTTTCATTGGTGGGCTTCCACTAGCTTACCAGCTGACCAGTGAATTTGCAGAGAAGTCTCACAATGAAATAGAAGCCATTCAGATCAGCTGTGTTATCACTTTCTTTGCCAGCATATTCCAGTTTGCAATATGGACTACAGCCCTCCATGAAAGGGAAACTTTGCATTCTTTTGCTAGATATGGTGGCAAGGAGCATGCCTTCATGTTTGCCAAGTTGGCTCTCTACCCTTGTGTAAGCCTTGGGGCCTTCTTTCTAACATGCTTGTTAAGTGAATTTAGCACAGCAATTTTCCATGTTATGCAGATTGTAATCCCATTTGCTTTTCTTGCCTTGCGCATTTTTGTTAGAATTTCTTCACCTGTTATAAAGTCCGTGCTGTCTCTCTCCAGATGGAATGCTGTATTGTTAGAAGAAGAGGAGGCATGTTTGTCTCCTACTGAAACACTGTCCTAAATTTTCACATAGTGCATGTGAAGTTGTAACATTAACTTCAGTTCTTCTAAGACATTATCTTAATGTGTGGATTATATTGATCTAAACTAAAGCCTGCATTGGCCATAACTGGAGCATATTTAAGTTTTAGCTGATCATGCTTGAGACCCTGTCTCCAAAACCTGTAATTGAAAAGAATTTGTAAATAGGGGGTACAAGGAAAAGCATGTTCCCCTTCCTTTAGAGCTACCCTTTTAAAAAGCATTGCTTGACATAGAACTGTAGTGATGATCAATTAAGAAATACACAAACAGATGCCCAGCGAAATGCCCGTTTTTCTGACATATGGCAGTCATTACAGCAGCCAAACACAGGTATAGAAGCTGGCTGTGCTGCTGTAAGATGGGGAGTGAGGCTTGGAAGATATGGAGACCTGGATTTCTGGATCGCCCGCCCGTCATGGTAGAACATTTATGCATACAGGTTGCTGGTCCCCCTCTTTTTTTTTTTTTCCCTAATGTTACAACATCTCTTCTGCATAGTTACAAACTTGTGATAGCATTTTGAAAACTGCTTGTCATTGAGGGGCTCTGAGCCCAAGTTTAGATGGGAGTTGCAGTTGTGATCTATATTCAGTCTTCCAGGCTACCTGAACACAAGTTCTTCAGGCGTATCTGTTCTTCTAAAAAAGGGTGTATTTAACAAATTAGTATTCATGTGGTTATGTACCCAAGGTTTGAACTAGCTTTGATATCTCCCATGGAAGAGATTCAAAGAGCTGTGGGACTAGAGGTAAATTTTGTTTCAGTTCTGAAGCAACTGCTCAGCTGAAATGGAAGGTTTGGATTTCTCAGGCTTTCTGTGTCTGTTATCATGCCTGTTGAAAGGAACATCCTTCTGTTACTCTGAAGGCACAATTGTGATATTCAGAGAGAGTGTGAGACTTTCTTGCCATATGTAAGAATTCCCCATCAAGTAAGGGAGTTGAGTTTTTCCCTAATTAGAGGCTAAGGGATCCCACAGATTTCTGAGTTTCGATATGACAGTAAAAGAAACCAACCCTGTAGAAATTCCAGTCAATGGTGTGCTGAATTTTTAACATTGTGTGCAGTTTGATAAGCTTTACGCTTATCAAACTTACCAAACATTACCCTGCAGATTGCTGTATACAAGGAGTGGGCAAAGTCATCTAGTCTTTGGCTCACCTGGCAGACTTCACATTTCTTTTTGGCAGAGCCTTTAGTTTGATTCTTGAACTGTCTTAGTGCCTGGTAACTTTAATGCCATATTTAAAGGCATTTGAGGGATTTTGTTGTTCCTCCTAAAAAAAAAAATTTAAAGTACTGTGGCAAAGTATGCCTGGAGTAACTGTTAGTGAAAACAAATTCAGATACCTTATTTCAGTTGTGATCAGTCTTGAAAGCACTTGTGCTTTTAGTTTGAAGCACTGTTGTACCAATATGAAATTGTATTACATACTTGTGAAAGAGTATGTTCAGGTATTCAAAGGGTTTTATACCTTGTTGGGGTTAAATGACTTGCAGTAGGATTCTGCATTATGTTGTGTATCACAGAATTTTTCTGATATTTAATGAAAGCACTTTTGGTTCTATATGGTTTTGTTTCTAATGTGCAGCAGGCACATAATAAGCAGTGAATATGTGTATTTGTAATAAATTTAAATCAATGAAAAAACAAAGCTTCTAGCCCTTTATTTCTTCTCTGCACGTGAAACTTAAAACTGATGTCTGCAATTAAAGTTATGTTGGACATTTTTTTTTTTCCTTCAGAATCATCAAGGTCCCTTCCAACCTCAACCATTCTGTGATTTTGTGTGAAACACCCAAATGCTTTTAAGGTGATATAAAAAATTTTTGATTCTTCTTCCATTGGTACTTGAAGAAAATGAGACCTGAAAGGATTTGAAAATGATGGCACTAATGAGCAGCCAGCTAAGGTTCAGATTCCTTCATTTTTGTGAGAGAATAGGAAACAATCCAGATTTCTTAGTTGCCCGGCACATAAGATTATTTTGTTAAGGTTCAAGAACCAAGGACATAACTGTAGTTCGTAGGCTCTGCTAACGAACGTGTCCTTTGCCCTCTGGACCAAGCGCAGAAAATGCCGTTGATGCAGCTCCTCTGCGATGAGAGCCTGCAGAACGCGGTGTCCGCAGGGCCGAGGCCTAGCGCGCTCTACCCCCCGCCGCTGGTGCGCAGCTCCGCTCTCCCCAGTCCTCTCCCCGTGGCGGCTGGGGAGGATGACAACACCGAAGGCTCGCAGTGCCATTCCCGTAGGCTGACGGGTATCTCTCAGGCGGAGAGGAGAAACCCCTCTCCGCTCCTTCCCACCGCGGTGGCCGAGGGACAGGCCGGGGGGACGTGCCCTCCATTTTCTGTCACGTAACGACGCCCCAGACGCTGAAATAAAAATACTTCAGGGAACGCTAGTGCCCGCCCTGCGCTAACAGAGCTCTGTGCCGCGTGGGTGCGTCGCCGGTGGGCGGAGCGGTGAGCTCCTTCCGCCCCGCCGCCGCTCGACAGGCGTTACTGCCGGCTGCCGCACAGCCGCCGTCGCCAGGATGATCCCGCCGGTGCAGGTCTCTCCGCTTATCAAGGTGAGAGTGGCGGGCGGCTCCCCCGGCGCTGTGCGGGTGCCCCGCTACGCTCTGGGGGGGGTGCGATGGGCCGTGGCGGGCGGGAGGCGT